CTCCTACCTCGGCCTCCTAGAATGTTAGGCTTACATGCGTGAGCCACCATGCCTGGCCCATTAGCAATATTGTAAATTTACCTGTCATTGAAAGGCATGAGGGAGGAGTATGGGGTCTCTTTTTTAATTCATACACAATTGTTCCTTCTTCTATGACTTCTTCCTCATTGTTTGGCACTGATTCAGAAGCATTCATCTCCATCAAGTTGTCTTCTATTAATTCCTGTGGTGTGGTGCCTATTAAAGCCCTTGAATTTCTCCAAGATCCGTATTTTGAAACTTTTCACTCTCCACCTTTTTTTACCATATCCACATCTTTTTCATGATTTCTTTGGTTGTCTCTGTCCTAAGTCCTGTGAAGTCATGCACAACATCTGGACAGTTTTCTTCAGCAGGAATTTATCGTTTTAGTCTTAATTGCTTTCACAGCTTTTTCTATTACGATGCCATCTTCAATGGTGTAATCCTTCTAGACTTACATGATGTTCTCTCTATCAGGGTTCTCTTCTGTACATTGACAAACATTTCCATAGAGTACCATGTGTAATGAGCCTTAAAGGTCCTTGTGACCCTCTGGTCAAGAGGCTGAATTAGGGACCCCTCTGGTCAAGAGGCTAAATTAGAGGCATTGTGTTTGGGGCAGTTAGCCTACTTCAATGATTTCAGTGTTGAATTCGTGGGGTTCTGGGTGATCAGGGGTATTGTCCAATATCAGAAGCAGTCCCTTTCTTTATCAACTGTCATTTTAAGGGGGAAAAAAAACAGTCCCTTTTCGGAAAAGTACTTCCTGACTTTAGGAGCAAAGCATTGATGGAACCAGTACAAAAATTGGGTTCTCGTTGTCCAGGTCTTCTTGTTGTACATCCAAAAGACTGTGGCTGATGTTTATCTTTTCTCTTCAAGGCTTAGAGGTTAGCAGCTTTATAGATAAGAGAAATCCTTATCATAAATTCACTGCATTTGCACAAAATAGTAGAGTTAGCCTATCCATTCCTGCCTTAAATCTTGATGCTAGTTTCTCTTCCTTACTAATGTATGCCTTTTGTGGCATTGTTTTACGGAATAGGGCACTTTTGTCTGTATGAAAAATCTGCTCAGTGGGGCACAGAGGCACGTGCCTATTAGCCTACTTGGGAGGCTGAGGCAGGAGGATTGCCTGAGCTCAGGAGTTCAAGGCCACAGTGCACCATGATCACACCTGTGAAGCCTGTGAATAGCCATTGCACTCCAGTTTGGGCAACATAGCAAGACCCTATCTCTTAAAAAAAAATCTATTCAGACAGATATCCTTTCTCCTCAATGATTTTCTTAACAATGTCTGGGAACTTATCTGCTGCCTCTTGGTCAGCAGAAGCTGCTTCTCCTGTTATCTTGACATATTATAATCCAAACCTCTTTCTAAAATTATCAAACCATCCTTTGCCGGCATCAAATTCTCCAGCTTTAGATCCTTTACCTTCCTTTTGCTTTGTCATTTAATGACTTAACTTTTTTCAAGTTATATTAGAGTTGATGGTATGCCTTTCATATAGCATTCCTGCCCCACATGAAAGCTGCATTGTCCATACAAGATAAAAAGGTATTTTGCAAAATGTACAAGGTCTTCATCATGCCTGCTGGCATAGCTGTAGTGATGACTTTATGAATTTCATTTTCTTTTTTTATAATCATCCTTAATGCTGGATTCATTTCTTGAAATGGTAGACAACCACAGCTACAGACCTCAATCTACAGTGCATATCAAGCAATTCAACTTTTTCTTGTAATGTCCTGACTGTTGTCTGCTTCTTGGGAGCACTGCCAGCATCACTAGTGGCACTTCATATGGGACCCATGGTATTATTCAAGGTATACAGTATTGCATGCACCGATAATGAAAAATATGTGAGAACCAAGAGAGATCACTTTTTACTGTGATACACAATTTACTGGAGAGATGAACTGCTCACCCAGAGATGATTATCATCCTCGGACATTTTAAGCTGATACTTGCAACACTGTAGCTTGCCACCATAGCAACAAGAGGTGGCTATGAATTATGACAGTGGTACAATATGTGTACTACCGTTAATTTTATGCATTTATGATTTAATACTGCATCTTTACATTTGTTCACATTTTTCTCAACTGCGAATGGTGCCATATACTGTCTGTGTTTGTAAGTTTTGATAAATTTTAACTTTTTTTATAATAGATTTGTATATATATAGTAGTAATAAATGATAAAATAGACTAGTATCTACATATATTTTGTGCATTCATCACATACCTAAATTTTCCTTAATTTTTTTGATATTTCTAAGCTACATGGTTCATCTTCATGTTTTTTCAAATTGTTTCAAATCTCTAAAAATGTTCCAATATATTTATTGAGAAAAATCTGTGTATGAGTAGACCTATGCAGTTCAAACCTGTGTTGTTTCAGGGTCAACTATATTAATTTCTCTCTCCACTGCCAGATTCTTTTACAAAGCTTTATTACAGCCTAATGGGATTACTGTATATTTATTTAAGACTTCTCCATCTTCAGTTTCCATCTTTTAGTCATGCATAGAATCTGAATTTAGTTTGTTTAAATCTGAAATTAGTTTTTTTCCCTCTTATTACCCTCATCAACTTTTATCTACATCCTTACCAATAAATATTACATTTTCTCTAGTTTTCCCATATTTATCAACCTAAATTATTCACATATGAATATAACAAAGCTAGCACTTCTCCCTGTTCTCTCTAGCATATTGAGCCTTTAACCAAGTAATTTCACATACATAAAACAGTTTGATTTCACGTCTTTATTTCTCCCGAGAGAACCAAAGTATATTGAGTTACAGCCAATAAGCTATGAGTAGTTGACTAGACATGAATGGCTGTATATTATTACAGTAGATTTTAGTCCTTCCACAGATACTTATTGAGCACCTACCTTGTGTTTGCCAGTATTCTAGACACTGAGAACATAGCAGTGAACAATATTAAGTGGTACTGGACAGTATTAAATGGAACAGGGAACTCCAAGCTAGACTATAGAGTTTGGTTTTAGTAAACTAGTTAAGTGTGAACTCCTAGAGCCATGTTGTCGCCAGTGTAGTACCCACTAGCCATATGAGGCTATTTAATTTCAATTTTAAACTAATTGAAATTCAATGAAATTAAAAATTTAGTTCCTCAATTGCAACTAGCCATATTTCAAGTGTTAAATAGCCACATGTGACTAATGGCCACTGTATTTGACAGCATAGATATAGAACATTTCCATCACTATAGAAAGTTTTCTTGGACAGCATTACTCTAGAGAGAGTACAATAGATAAGGAAAATTTTGAGCCTTGCCAAAATTAAAACTATGTGTAAGGATATAGTTTGGTCGCCTAAATTAGGAGCTGGCCTAGGCCCGAAGTGCCAAAATGGTAGTAGCAACTAGATTGTTTCTTGGACCCAAACTATTCTTAACCAAAAAAAAATAAAAAATAGGCCGGGCGCGGTGGCTCACGCCTGTAATCCTAGCTCTCTGGGAGGCCGAGCCGGGCGGATCGTTTGAGTTCAGGAGTTCGAAACCAACCTGAGCAAGAGCGAGACCCCGTCTCTACTATAAATAGAAAAATTAACTTGGCAATAATAGTTATTGAACAATTCCGCCATGGTGGCGCGATGCCTGAGGTCCCAGCTACTCGGGGGGAGCTGAGGCAAGAGGATTGCTTGAGCCCAGGAGTTTGAGGTTGCTGTGAGCTAGGCTGATGCCACGGCACTCACTGTAGCCTGGGCAACAAAGCGAGACTCTGTCTCAAAAAAAATTAAAAATAAAAAACCTCAGGATGACATAGGAGGTATATGGACTTATTTTGGATTATAGAGCATAGATGTACTTATATGCTTGTCCAACTGAAGGGTACATTTTGGGTTTTGGACAACTTTCTAAATAACCTCCTGCTAAACACTACTCCTCTTTTAAAAATAAGTTTTTGAGACCCATCTAATAGAAGGAAATGTTTTTTTGTGGGGTTTTTTTTTTTTTGTTTTTGTTTTTGAGACAGAGTCTCACTGTATTGCCCAGGCTAGAGTGAGTGCCGTGGCGTCAGCTTAGCTCACAGCAACCTCAAACTCCTGTGCTCAACTGATCCTACCGCCTCAGCCTCCCGAGTAGCTGGGACTACAGGCATGCGCCACCATACCCGGCTAATTTTTTCTACATATATATTACTTGGCCAATTAATTCTATTTTTAGTAGAGACGGGGTCTCGCTCTTGCTCAGGCTGCTTTTGAACTCCTGACCTCAAGCAATCCGCGCCTCGGCCTCCCAGAGTGCTAGGATTACAGGCATGAGCCACCACGCCCAGCCTAATAGAAGGAAATGTTGTGACTTGTATTCTGTGCTGACCTTTTCGTCATTTTTTTTTTTTTTTTTTTTTTTTGAGACAGAGTCTCGCTTTGTTGTCCAGGCTAGAGTGAGTGCCGTGGCATCAGCCTAGCTCACAGCAACCTCAAACTCCTGGGCTCGAGCGATCCTTCTGCCTCGAGCTCCCGAGTAGCTGGGACTACAGCATGCGCCACCTCGCCCGGCTAATTTTCTATAGTATATATAATATAATATATATATATATATATCATATATCAGTTGCGCCTTAATTTCTTTCTATTTATAGTAGAGACGGGGTCTCGCTCTTGCTCAGGCTGGTTTTGAACTCCTGACCTTGAGCAATCCGCCCGCCTTGGCCTCCCAAGAGCTAGGATTACAGGCGTGAGCCACCGCGCTCGGCCTTCCTCATTATTTATATACTCAACATTCATCCTGTGACACTAGAGATTGTTGAATACAGACTGTAAGCTCTCAGAGAGCAGGGAGCCCAAGTCTTTCCTGAGTTCTGGGCCCCTCCTAATTACTAGCTTCTCACTTCTTAACACTCTAATGTAATTAGTACCACACATTCTGGGAGTATTTAGTGTTGATTGATGGTCTACACTCATCTACTCTAACTTTATCTATATTTTCTCTTTACTTAACAGACAGTGTGGAGCATTCATTATTAAGACACTTGGGCAGCTCTAGTCCAACTCAACTGATTCCTTGTCCAATGATCCTCGTGTGGCTGAGATCCAGCTTCAACAAACCGGCTAGAAGCTGCCCGTTGTGAAACTTAGGGTTAGTTAATACCTCACCATACTTATTTATTCCACTATAAGCTGTCTAAATTTGATGAAATTTGCTTTTTCAGCTGTTCTACAAAAGTATTTAGATAGATGTGGCATGTTGGGATTTTTATGTGTTAATCTAACTTTTTTACAACATGTTTTATCCATTCCATAAATAATAACCAATTGGGAATAGTGAGGTGTCTTTCATTTTCTCTGTTTGTGTTATATTTTTTCTTCTCAGAGTATTAGATGTTATGTCTCATTCTTTGATATTTATTTTAATATTTAGGATAAGAATCATTTCTAATTCTAATAGAATTTTTAGTACTTTCATACTTTTAAAACATATATTATTTAATTTTATTGATTTAGTTCTATTATTTTGCTATTTTGTCATGTAATATGCTTTTGTATAATTTTTTATTTATTTGTTACTACTATTCCTTATTTAATTTTGCTTCTGCCATGGTTTTCAGAATTTGAATGGTACTTATACTCCCTTTTTTATAGCATTTTCCAAATATTAGAATACCATCAGTATGATTGGTATGTGATTAATTTGACTATATTAAAATTTTTTTCTAATCTTTGAGATAATATTGCAACCCTCCTATAGCATAATTCATTTGTTACCAAATTTTATAAAATATGAATCCACCTAGAGAATTTTGATAAAAGAAGGTTCACCTCTGACATGATCCCATAACATTGACCGACATTCCACTGTATTAGTGTTCTTTGAACGTTTTAATCTTTAAACCTTTTCTTCTTATATGCTACCAGTATATTCAATTATATGTGTGATTAATTTTTTAAAAGACAATTAATTGCCCTCATAAAATGCAAAACTATTTCTTATACCAAAGGAAAACTTCAGATTCTGACTCTAAAGCCAATTTTTACTATAAAATTTGGAAATGGCAGGAAAGTCATTGTTCAAACGTTACAGAACAAATCATAAGGGTTTTTAATCTCTAAAATTTCTGTAGTAGTACAAGAAATATTCCTCTTTACATTCATTTGCAGTTCTTTCACTGACTTCCTAATTTTAGAAGAGGGGAAGAAGCCATAAAAACTGGCATTACTCTAATAAATCTATCCCTTCCTTCCCTTTCCTATTCCAACCCCAAATGTATTCCACACTCAGCAGCAGCAGAAATAATAGGATATAGACACCAAAGTTTTTCCTGGTGATTCAAATAGGATGTTTTCTCTTGAAACCATAATGAATATATTTGCCAGGCAGATGGTTTCATGAGAACAGTAGGACCCAAAAATGTTTACTAGCATACAAGGATCTCATGTACATTAATTATTCTCAGTTTTAGAAATGTAAATAGACTTAAGTCCCACAATGAAATTTCAAAAGTTTTTGTTCTGTAAGTAAAAAATTATTAACCACTGATGTCAGAGATCTTTTAATAGCAGTATCCTTGAAAACTGAAAAGTTAATGGTTTCATTTTCAAAATGTTAAACAAGATGCTAAACAAATCCTGGACTGTTAATAAAAATTAATGATGTATTACTGGATAAGGAATTTTGATAATAATTGATACCCAAGTGTGTTTCTTCCACAGAGCTATATAGATTATATGCATATACACATATATATTATATGTATACATACATATATACATTATTTATATACACAAATATATTTCATACATATATACTTTCTTAGAACTTAGCTTTATTTTGAGAAGCTAATAAAAACTTTGGAGTTTACTGACAATCTGAATATATGGAGGAAGGATATCATCCAACCTTCTTCATGGCCTAACCTGAGAGCCCAAACATGTTACTTTTAAAAACAGACAGACTGAGAAGATAAAAATTCTCCTTATTTATACTAAGTGAAGCCCGTTTTATTTTTTTCTATTTTGTAGCATACCCTCAATAGATAATTTTGGAAAGTAAGGTTTTACTCACTTAGGACCCATTTTGAAAGGCCAGTCTGAAGAAATTATCTGAAATCCACTCTGTAAGTAAAATGGCTAATACAGATACTAGTACATGTACCAAAATCACAAGGCAATCACTTTGCAACCTGTTTTCCAAAATCTCTAATACAATCATAGATAGAAAGATGGTAACATTTCCAAAGATAAAGGATCTTGGAAAATTAAGACTTCTTCTGTCAGCAGATTTCTGAAGGATGGCTTGGAAAGAGGTATGATTTAGTTTATAACAGATTGCTTTATAAATTTCTACCAACAAGAGCAGTACAATATTTTTAGACAAATTATACATGATAATTCCCATTTGTAGGACTGGATTTATGCTATACTTAACTACAAAATAATGAATTGGGGTCATACACAAAAATTCTTTTTATCTTTCCTAGAAATTGTGCTTGAATAGTATTAAAATACAGACTTCAGTTGCATCCAATCCAACTTTGATATTATGCTTCATCTTGCTCTACTGTTATTATATAATAAATCACTGGTCCCGAGACCTAAACTTTTTTATTTAAGGTCATCCAGCGAGGACCAGAAAACCTGCTAGACAAATTCTAAAAGATCTGTAACACTAAACCTATACTTTGGCTAAAGTTTATTCTGAAATCTCCGTAGGCTTAAAAGGGGCAAAGGGCAAAATTTTACCCAAAAGATGAATATAAGTAATACTCATAATTGGTGCTGTTTCTTTCAACTCTATTCAGTGTTTTAATCCCTGTGCATAAATTCCCAAAAATATGGCATTTGCTTTTGTCCTTTTGTGTTGAATATACCACTCTCTGATTAGCAGCTACAACAGCTGCCACCTGTTGGACCTGCTATGTGTTTCTGTCTCTTTGCTTTTATGTATTGCATAAATTCGCTAATACTTTTTGCATTCTGCTGCTTCTCTTCAGAAATGAGTGCCATTCAAGAAACTTATTTTATTCCATATTGTCATTTTTTTTAATTTGTCCTTTCTAAATGTGACATAATCCTTCAGTTTTCCATATACTAGTTTCATGGTTATCTTGATGTTACCTATTTTCTGACCTGTTAGGATCCACAGATATAAAATAGCAGGCATAAATTTCAAACTAGTGAACTAACCAAGTAAGGATTTCTAGTTTTATCATTCTTTTTAGACATGCTGCTTTAAAATAGCATCAGGCTTATTTAGCAATGTAATGCCAAGCCTGATTACGATTAAGTGAAAATACACAGTAACAGGCCAAATAGTTAAGACATTTTATTTAAGCTAGTGATACCATATTGACATCTGATTTATTTTTAAAACGTGTGACCTATAAATTTTCCATTTATTGATTTGTGAGTTTTCATTTGATAATGTATTTTTTCAGTTAATAGAAGCCAATACTTATTTAGTAATATTTTGTGATAATTTTCTCAGTGAAGCTAGAATGTTAACCTGATTTTTGCATTTCTATCAAGAAGTGTACTCACAGAGTAATTGTCATTTAGTATTTCTCTAAATGAAATATGGGTCATAAACATCTCCTTGGTACACTTCCTCCCTTTGGAAAACAGGGATGTGAGAAGCAGCCTCTCTACACTTGGCAACTAAAGCCCTTCCTTTCCTCCCCTGCTAAGAGTCTTTTCCTTACTTCAGGAGATGAACAATAATTGGTTACTTATCAGAGAAAATTTGGGGGACCATAGATCCTCTCACATCTTTGGGATATATCTATAGGATTCTGGTTTGTCCTTAGGCCTAAAGAGAGAATGTCTAATCAGAAAGTTCTTCGGTTAGACTCTTTCTTGTTTCTTTTCCATTTCTTCCTTCATGAGATAGTGAAAATAAAACCCATCTGTAAGAGTTTTTCTTTCCTGGGAAAAACAACAGTTTTAGGGAGTTGGTAGTTTTTGTGTTGTTATTTTATTTTATAATGAAAATCAAGTTTCTTACCTGAGATACAAAGTCTTCAAACTAACTGCCCCAAACTTCTTGGCAGTTATTTTCTTGCATTACCACTGACAAGTTTTGTGGCATTCTCTCTAGATCCTTGTCTTTGATTGATTTTATTGCTTAAAAAAGCAGTTTTCCCCTTGGAAAATTCCAAACTAGAAAGCAAACTATATTCTTCCTATCCTATGAACTCCCTAAGCTTACTAGTTGTCCTCTTTCAATCTGGGAAGAATTTTCTGTCTACTCACTTGAATATCCCCTTTCTAACTTGTTCTCCAAATGCCATATCCTTGTTTAGATCAATTTAAAAAACTGTGCTGACAATGAGAAAGGCCTCTCTTTATATTCACTTTTCCCTCTTCTGCCCACTAGCATTCTGAAGGACCTCTGTTTTCTATTTTGAATAGAATTTTTCCAAATTTTTGTAGACCCTGAGTATTTTCTTATCTACCCAATTCAATTAACCTTCTTGACTAAAAATGATAGGGCTTAAGGATATTATTACATAGATGTCATTTATGTACTGTCATCTCTGCTTACATTTTCAAATAAAACTCTAAGATTAAAGAAATGCAATTAAGAATACTTAATTTTCTAAGAGCTTTGCCCAATTCCCACCAAATTACAAATGACTATTACTAAATAATGGTTTTTAAATCCAAAGGACATTTCCACACACAAAAAAAATCTATATTGTGCTAAATATATAATGTAATAATGCTAACTGGAATTCTAGATTTGGAAAATAAAAGCAGGAGAGATAAAAGTATCTGTCCCAGCTACTACTTCCTTAAGAATAGGATTAAAGAGAATACCTGTTAACCCAAAAGATTTAATCCAGTTTGGTAGAATTTCCAATAGTATACTATAGCACAAAAAAAATTCAAGCAATATGGGGGAAAAGGTTTTATGTTAAGGAATCCAGCTTTATGTAGCTACTTCACACTTAAGAATGTCATTCTTAGTTTTCTTTCCTACTTCCATTTCTGAACCCCTTGGAACTTTTAAAGCTCCAACTTTTTCACAGTGATTCCTAATAATGAACAGAGTAAGCATTTTGGAGAGAGAACCAGGATAGCTTTTGGCTGAACATGGAGTTACCCCTTTGTGGCCACAAAACTGAGTAGCTTGAGACCAGGGCATTGAATGTCTGCAAGTCAGGGAGGCAAGCTGATGCATTTCTGTTTAGTCTCAGTGCAGGGCGAAATGCCATCATTAATTCATTACCCAGCTGCCTGTCAAATAAATTGGTAATTACAACATACACTGCAGAAACTTCAAATTCAGTAAATAGCATGCTAGCATCTCTGAGTTGTTGAAGATGTAAA